CAACCTTGGAACAACAGGGCTCTGGGATACAGGGATCTAGGTATAGCTTGAAGAGGGTAAATAATACTAAAATCCTTGACTGCCTTATGAATATTTGTTTCCCTTGCCTACTATTGTAAAATAGACACTTGAGTGGGATAGAAAGGAATGTTGGGAAAAAATGATCAGAGAAAACTTTTAAGCCTGTCTTCAGCCTATAACTGATTGGAATACCTAAAAGGGGTTCTACAAAACTTGCCCAGTGAAATAGGCCTCATGCAAAGCCTTTACAGAGTATAAGACCTTAGGTGGAATCCTGAGTCCCATTCACAACCTTGTGAGGTGAGACATTCCCACTAGAAAGGACAAGCAGACTGGAACAGCTACAGTGACAGAAGATACATCTTCATGATGAACTGGACCTATACTCAGAGCGGTAGTTACTCTAAATACCAACAAAGAAGGAAAGAGTCTTCAAATCAAGTATCAATTTTATCCCCTCTGTACACAGGGTAAATAGGGACGGGCAACTTAGACATTGGCTACCTAAAATGAGGGAGCAATAGAGGCACGAAGTGACTGGCTTACAAGGTTTCAAGAGAGAGTTTAGTTTAAGAGTATGGGGGGAAAGAAAGAGTCCCCACTGAATAGCTGTCATCTTGTCTAGATGGGTCTTGTAGAAACAGATGGGGATAAGATTCGTAAGATTCAATAGTGAATAATTGTTATCATGACTAATTGCGACTATCACAATTATATAGGTAAAAGTTTTGTAACAAAAAAAGGGGAGTGGGGGAGAACAAACAAGATGGCAGATCTGATGGATGTGCAGTAAGGAGCTCCGTCAGCAACAACACAGAATACAGGAGCAAGCAGTCTCAGGGGATGGTCCCAGAACTCTGAACCCCATATAAAGGAATATTTAGAAGGTTGGAAGGCTTACAGCTGGAGAAATTTGTGGCAGAAGCAAGAAATCTATTGCTTTCTAGTCCAGGAGGCTCAGCTGCTCCACGAGCCACCATCTTGGGTGAGACCAAGCGCGGGAAGGATTATAGTGGCCACAGACGTCTGGCAGAACTGCGGAGATAAAGGTGTGGGCATTCTTTTCTTTTGGTATCTGTTCATTGATCCCTTGCTGTCTGCGCACCTCCATTCTGGTGACTCTAGGGGTGCCTGAGCTAGTGAACACCCCAGCCCCACCCTCAGAGGGTTCTACTATGCATGCACACAGATCTCCTCGAAATTTAAAGAGACAGTTTCCACGTAAAACCAAACGGTCATAGCCGGCCCTGAACTGTTTATAACTAGAAAAAAGGCCTGAACGGGGATTGTGGAGTGGGACAAGCAG